AAGCGATGCTTTTCGTCGTTCGAAATACGTGCGTCTTGATAAGATAACATATATCTAATCTTAAAGGCACCTACATGTATAGACGTTTGCAAGCAGCCGCGCCTCAAGAGTTCGTCTGGCCACCGTGGATGAAAACCGCCTTGTTTGGGCACCACACCAACAGCAAGGTGGCAAACCTCTATACCTCAATTCTTTTCATGAAGGGCAAAGTAGTGATGCTCCGCAAAGACCCGTTTTTTTGTTGTTGTTTTTTTTTTTTTTTTTCTACTACGGTTTTTGGCGTGAAAAAGAGTATACTGTTTCGCGTTTTCGGTGTTTATTTATTTTTTAGGTATAAATATCCTGGGTGTTTTTGCGGGGTTAGTTTTTTTCCTCGCAGATTCGGTGTTTCTTTGTGTCAACGTTTTTTTTTTTTTGTTTTTTTTTGTGGGACGAGAAACAAAGGTCTATCCGAAATTAGGTTGAAAAATAAATAGGACATGTGCAAGGTGTTCCCCAATCTGCAGAACGTACTTAGGCGTGATCCGAATGCACCCCGATACCGATAAGAGAAGAAAATGAGACAATGGGTGTTTTTCCAACGAAAGAAACAGCCTCGCTGACAAGGCCGTTTTCCTGGTAAATACAAAATAAAGCTGCAGATAAAATTGAGTGAAAAAAGGGTTCCTCATGATACAGTACTCGATTCAGTGCGCTTCATGTTTTACGTAGTCACCAAAATAAAGCTAGAATGTAAACTTTTTTTTTCAATTTAGAGATGACACTGTAATGGTATATCCGCACAACAATTACGAATTAGCCGCTACGGCAATACAGAAAAAAGTTCGTAAACTTTTACATTAGTACCAAGACAATCAAATGATTATAAGCGTTTCGGAAATGCAAAGAATATGCTTTAGAGACCTGAGAAAAGAAATACCTATTAAACTACGAGTAAAAATGCACGAAGAACAGTACAACAACTGCTGATGTACAACGTTAGAATACGTAAATAAAGTTAAATATTTATGAATGTAGATTGACGAACATTTTAAATCGAATATTTATATTGAGCAAGTTTGTCAGAAACTGGGAATATTGTATGTATCACAGCGCTTAAAATAATATGTGAATCAGGAAAATCGACGCTTCAATATTGTCACGAATCACAATTTGTGATGAAACGAATGGACGAAAAGAAATTAAACATTTGACGCGGCGAAATTGTGCTGAGAAAAGAGAAGAGAAGAGAACAGAAGGTAAAAGGACACTGTCGCAAGCGTCGAGTGTCGGCGTGGACGCGGAATCGAGTGCTGCCGAAAGATAGACTTCGTGCAGCGTAGTGTGGCTTGTTTTGGGTCCCTGGAATCCTAGAACATTCTACCTCGTTCGTTCTGGAAGTATATATTCTGAGCATGAACAAGCTAGACGGCTCTCCAACGTTCTAGAATCTTCCACGTACATAAAGTAGAAACGACAAGCAGTGGCGGGATTCGAACTCCGGCCATCTGCCTGGAAGCCATGCGGGCTACCTACTTGGCTAGCTGCACTCTTTTTGTCTTCTTTATTGTACTTGGCTAGCTGCACGCGGCATGACTCCCCCCTTTAAAAGCGCATCGCCCTAATGCAACAGAAAACAAAACAAATGAACGGTAAGATAAAAAAGGCTCGAGGTGCACCTAAGCATTTCTTATGAGTTGTGAATGCGACAGCATGCACGTCGTTCTTGAGTGCGTCCTCGTGCAGTTGGCGCGCCTCGCTGACATCGGCGGAATCGGCTGCAGAAATTGGCTGGTGCGCTCGGGCGGCTGTGCCGCCGCTCGAGCGCGCCAGCTGATTCTTTTTTTTCGGCGCGCGGGCACGCAGCGCCATGCGGAGGCGCTGATTGAAACTGACGCGCGGCGCCCTCCTTCGGCTTCATGTACTTGCCGTTCTGCGCGGCTTTTTGCGCGGCTTGAAAGTTGGGATGCCTCAGATCGTGGCTTCACGAATTTATCTGCCGTTTGGCGCGGCTGATGACGTCGGCTCGCTTCATGGGACCAATTAATGCTTTCGCATTAAAAGTCCTCTGGCACACGAAAAGCCACATTCCTATCGAGCGTTGAACGGTTTGAGTCGAACTACGTAAACCACATCGGGTCATGATCGGTGTCGTGATGATGTTTGCATTCCGTCACGCACCATTTCGTAGTTGAGATCCTCGAAGCGACGAAGTACCCTGTGCGGTCCGAAGTACCGTTGCAACAGTTTTTCGCTAACGCCGCGGCGACAGTTAGGTGTCCACAACCACACCCTGTCTCAGGGCTGGAATCGAACGTCCCGACGACGAAGGTTGTAGCGGCCAGCGGCGACACGTTGCTGGTCTTGAATACGGAGTCGGGCGATCTGACGGAGTTCGGTCCGTAGAGCAACAATTTAGGAGTCATCGCTCCAATCGTCACATCGCTCGTGGGGCAGCCTCACGTCAAGTATGGTCGTTACCTTCCGACCATGTACCAGCTGGAAAGGTGTAACTCTAGTGGTCTCTTAAACCGGCGTGTTCTAGACACACGTGATGTACGGTAAAACCTCGTCCTAGGTCTGGTGCTTCACGACGACGTACATGGAGATCATGTTGGCGATGGTCTTGTTTAGCCATCAGCCGTTTCGTCTGCGGGTGGTACCCCTTGGTGCGACGATGGCTAGTGTGGCTGAGACGCAGCGTTTTTTGCGTCAGCTGCGCAATAAACGACAACCCGCGATCTGCAATTAAAACCTCGAGAGGATGGACTCGATGAAAGACCTAGCGACTTCATTCGCAGTTTCCGACGGAAGGGCTTTCGTTTCGGGGTATCGTGTAAGGTTATCCGTGGTGACTATTATCTACCGGTTCCATTGCGTCGATGGTGGGAACGGTTCAAGCAAGTCCATTTAAACCTGTTGAAACGGGGAAGTTGGCGGCGGAATCGGCTGAAGTCCTGACGGTTTCGTGGACGGTTTCTTGCGTCGTTGGCATTCGCGGCACGATTGTGCGTAGAGATAAACGGTCTTCTGAAGCTTGGGCCAGTAGTATTCTTCGCAAATTCTGGCAAGTGTCCTGCTGTGCCCGATTTGCCCCGCCGTCGGGTCGTCATGGCATCCTCGGAAGACTTCTTCACGAAGGCTGGAACGGATAACCAACAGCCACGTTCTGTTGTTGTCGCCGTATAGTTCTCCTTGTACAGCACGCCGTGTCGAATGGCGAAGGTAGGCAGAATTCGTAAGAAAGCGCGGAGCACCGTACTCCCTTGCCTCTCCAGGTGCTCACTGAGCGCTCGCAGTTTAGGGTAATCTCGTTGGAGTGCTGCCATGTCGCTGACATCCAGAGCGCCGAGAAAAGACTCATCGTCGTCGTCTTCGGCAGGACCGGCCTCGATGGGGTCCCTTTACAGACAATCCGCGTCATTGTGCTTCTGGCCGGACACCACGGTCATGTGAAACTGCTGCAGTCGTAGGCTCCACCGGGCGAGGCGTCCGGAGGGGTCCTCCAGATTGGCGAGCCAGAAGAGCGAGTGGTGATTTGTAACCACGCGGAAAGAACTCTCATACAAATACGGGAGGAACTTTGTTATTTCCCAGACGACAGCAGGGCACTCCTTTTTAGTCGTTGAGAAGTTCCTCTCCGCCTTAAACAGCGTCCGACTTGCGTAGGCGATCACTGGCTCTACGCCCTCATGCCTCTGGGCCAGTACCGCGCCAAGTCCGTGTTACTTGCGTCCGTGCAGATCTCGTTTCAGCGAACTGGTCGAAAAGGCGAACAATCGGGGGCTTCTGGAGTCTTCACTTAAGGTCATCAAATGCCCAGTGGTGTTCTTCTGTCCACTCAGACTTTACGGCGTCCTTTGTGAGATGCACAGAGTCCGAGAAATCTTCTTACGGCCTTCTTGTCAGATGGCGGCGTAAATGCGGCTATGGCACGCGTCTTCTCGGGGTCAGGGCGAACACCTTCGTTGCTCACGACCTGGCCCAGGAACCTTAGCTCACCATAGGTTAACCGACACTTTGTTGCCTTGATTGATGGCCGGGGTTTGAACCCTGCCCATCTTCGTGGGAGTCAAGCACTCTGCCTGCTTGGCTAGCTGTGCTCGCGGCAATATATATGTGGTACAGTTTATTGACACTTCACAACATCTGCAGAGAAAGAAAATCTATTCAAGAAAGAATCATAAGAAATATTGGCTTAAAAAGCGAACAAACAGGTATTCCAGAGCACATGTACAGATAATTAGGATGTTGCAGTTTATACATCAAGCTAAATATGACATAATTATAATATAAAAAACGAACAAAAACTGAAATTACTAAGAAAATAGTAATTAGACCAAATAGAAAGCACTTTGAACCATTTATAAATAAAAAATACGAGACGCGACGAAAATATTCGATGCCAGAGATATATTCAATGAGTTACTCGAAGCGATTCTTAACACAAAATGTCCTGAAACCTTCCAAATGCCCACAAAAATTATGCAGACAAAAAAAAAAAAAGTACCGTATTTACTCGCGTATAGGTCGACCTGTTTTTCAAAAATCGCCTCATCAAAACTGGGGGGTCGACCAATACGCGAATCCCGGTATTATATTTTTCAACTTTTTTTTTTTTTCGGGGGTCCCGAAGTTAGGGGGTCGACCTATACGACGTATCGACCAATATGCGAGTAAATACGGTAAGTGTAAGAAAAAACGTACTAAAAGAAAAGTTACTTCTAGGGAACTTTTTTTAAATTGTATCTCTTAGCGAAATAAAGACAGTGCCGACAATATTATATATTGCCAAAGTTATGTTGTTGTTTTCTTTTCTTTCGTTAAACATTCAGAATGTATTCTCATTGATTACCTTCTTTTCCTTTGCACAACTACTGCCGCGTCCAACACACAACCCCTACTTATGTGGGAATTATGCCGTAAAATCTAAAAAGAAAGACACGCTAATTTGTATTATATTGCATCCTACCGGAACTTGACAACGGGCGTCTGTGCGGCTTTTTGCATGGACTTCGCAGTGTGACGGCCACGGCTGCCAGTATCGGCGCGGCCGGGATTCCCCAGGCGGGCCTGGTGACCATGGTGATGGTTCTCAACGCCGTCGGACTTCCGGCGGACGACATCACGCTCATCATTGTCGTCGACTGGATTCTGTGAGTGCCCCAATTCTTTCGTCGTTCATTCTTGACGATGTGGCGCAAGGGTGTGGCAACGAGCGTCTTCACACATCTGTAAGTCGGGGTCACGCAGCTTATTCGTCGTAGAAAAGACAACCTGTACACACTGTCTGAGACATTCTTTGTAGGAAGGTGTCGTAACACTGGTGATACAAAGACCTGACGGCAGACATGTTGGAATCATTCAAATGTATGAAACAAACATGCTCCGATTATGGTTGAGACATGCCAACATAATGTTTCCATCATGTTGGCCGTGAACAGCGTGTTTTTTTTTATATGATGTATGAACATACCGACTGCGGCTTGCGATTTCTTTTGCTGTGAGTAGGGTTACCTGGTGTGGGGAATTAGAAGGGAGGGGGGGGGGGGAGATTAGTTTTGGTCAAATTCAGAAATAAGTTTTGGGGGTTTATTTTTTTACACTGTGTCGCTGTTTTTCGGTGTCTACTTTCGGTGTCGGACAAAGAAAAACTGCTTTTATCGGAGCTTATGTTAAAGGGAACGGGACACGGTCGTGGAATTCCCCTGCCACCAGGTGACATGCGCGTGACCCGAATATTGCATACGTTGGTTTTTGTACCATACGTCGCCAGTTACGAGAATGCACCTAGAATGTGACAAGCTAGACAGATTTGTAATATATATATATATATATATATATATATATATATATATATATATATATATATATATATATATATATATATATTTATTTATTTTTTGACTCGAACACATCTTACTGACGGTGCACCACTCACCAGGCTTAGTGGTGTTCGTGGTAACATCAAGACGAAATGTTTTTATTACTTAAAAAAAATATAATGTCCCGATACTGATAAGACGAGCAAAGGGGTTCCCAGAGAAAAATGCAGCTCTCCCAACAGCTCAGTCTACCTGTGTTTCAAATCAAAATAACGAAAGACCTTTTGCATTACGGCTGATCTAGACATTTGCGCTCGAGACCGACAGACAACGACGCGTTGCACGGACCTTAAAGGGTAACTGCAAAGGAAAAAAGTTTTTTTGTTTTGTTTTGTAACAGCATAATTAGGATAAGCATGTCACAAAACAAATCTTCCACGAAGAAAATTTTTTTTCTAGCGATATATACGCCATAGGACGTAATTTAGTCGGAGTCACAACTTCTCCACATATAAAACTCCCGCCCTTTCGACGCGCGCGGAGTGGCTGTTATAAGTCACTCCCTGACGTATAGCAGCCATTACGTTACGTTTAATACCAGCTTCGTGGCGCGCGATTTAAAACGGACGAAATAGCCGCAAACTAAAATTAGTCTCGCGGCAATAAATATTGCTGTAAAAAATTTGTTTTGGCGGAAAAATTGTTGTGTGACATGCTTGTCCCAATTAGGCTGTTTAAAAATACACTTTTGTGTATTTTTAAACAGCCTTAAACAGTTTGCTGCAGTTTTTCCTTTGTTACAGGGACCGATTCCGCACTGCCATCAACGTCCTAGGAGACGCCGTCGGTGCCTGCGTCGTGGAGAGGTTGAGTCTTGAAGACCTCAAGCCCAAGGCGTCGGGGGCTCAGGGCTCCAAAGACACGGTCATGACGTCCATGTAGACGCTGAAACCATCTCAAACACAACGTAACATGCGCTGTCGCAAACCGGCCTCCCAAGGTTGCTTGCGAGTCAAGGACTCAAACATCGCCGTGTTTGCCAAATCCTGTCCGTAGTCAGGCCAAGGCCGCACCAGACGGTTCATCTGACCGCCTAGCAAATTAGCGGGCGGTTTGGAAGATTTCGTTGTCCATAGATATGACCCACATGTTTAGAGGACTGTGCTGCAGTTTGCACATATCTAGATCCCGTGTATAGGCGGCCTTTGCAGAAAAGGAAAGGACGTGTGTTGTTGTTGTTTCCGATGCGTGGGCAGTTTTGCGTTTCTGATTTGTCAAAGTTTGCTTTACATACAGTCATGCTCCAGGGTTTTCGGCCAATCACCCATAGGAGTTCGACAGTTTATGTTATAGGAGTAAATCGAAGTTATTATTAATCCTGTAGAAATATTCGTGTGGTTGTGTTTTCTCCTCTCTACGTACTTTGGAGCTGAAGATGAGTGCAGGTACTTCGCTACACCTGTACGACGAAAGTTCATACGTTGGTAGACTGTCTTTGAACAAAAACAAAAGAAAACAAAAACAGAAGTAGATCACTGGTAATTGTAAATATATTTAAGTATCTTAAATCGGAGATTCATGAAAGAAAATAGTTAACACGAGCGGCTAAATACACAACAGTAAAAGAAATGCAAAACAAAATTACCTATGTGAAATAAGTTAGCTGATAACTTGCTGAAAACGGTTAACATTTCAACAGTAACAGCTTAGAGTTATTGCAGTGGCTAAAACAATGTTGAAATTGTTTGGCTAGCTGGAATATAAAGTTGTGTCAGGTGTAAAAAAAAAGAAAACGAATTTTCCCGATGTAAAGGCATCGCTCATCTACACGACACGGTGCATCACAAGGCCAATAAATCTACTAAGTCTTTTATGGTAAAAATATACCAGCTTGTATAGGGCAGTTATTTGAAGTGAAAGAGAATAACGCGGTATGAGAGCAAACAAACGTCTTAGCTTAGTGGGCTGCAAAAAAGCCGGCTTAAGAAGTGGGACGGCTTATACCGCAAACATGAAACAGATACCTGTGGAGGCCGTCGTACTGTCCTACATAAACATTCCGATTGAATTGGCCGGCATAATTAACGCAGAAAATAATATTTCTTTTTTACTGACGACGTATAGCGCAATAGGTCATTTTATTTTTAAAGAGGCTACAGAGTGTTACCGATGTGCACTGCTTAGCATGTGCGTCAGTGTGCTGTACAGTACATGTAAAAAAAAATGTTGTAAACCGGTGGATAATCGCGCCACGTAAAAATGTCTTCTATTTCCGTAGGTGCATACTTTGTGATGAGTGTAACGAATGTTTTTGGTGAAAACACCTGCAACCATATCGTGTAAATAGTTAAACAGTGTAGAAGGTCAAGGCCTTGTTCACATATAATCAAATCATTATCTATTCTCACGTGTGGTTTGACTGCCATCATGAGCTGATCACCAGTGACCTGACGTATGTTTCATCGACGTCCTCCAGCATGAAGGGCTGAGTTGACTCTTGATGAATCTTGAGGCTGCTAGTGAGAGTATACTGTCATCCCCTTAAAAGAAAATATTTCATCAGAACTTTTATATAGTTTTCCAACTGTGTTGGGACTAATTTCTGACTGGCATCAAGGAGTATGGTATGACGAAATGGTAACAAAAAGTTACCTTTATTTGTAAAACATTTTGTCATAGTAATTCTATGCGCCGTTGGCATTGGCTATTTCTTTCGAATCAAACGATTATATTCTATACCCTGTATATACAGACATTGCGCTATAAAAGATTGTAATTGTGTTTTGATGACTCATAATTTATTCTGTTAAATTATGTCCCAACGAGGTTATTTAAACTTTCGCCGATATCATGTCGTCTGTTTGTATTGTCTTCTCCGCCCTTAGGAGATTCGTCTTCTGTGCATTGTTGTGATTTTTTTTTTCAGCAATAGTAGGGCATTGTTCAAATCATCGTGTTTCAGTGCAGACAAGTGCTGAAACCGATATCCTGTTTCAGGAAGCGATACAGCATTTTAGAATGTAAACCTCGTATACGCAGCTTCTCTTTTGTGTGACCTAGCTGTACTTTCAACACCAGTCAGCTAGGGGTTAGAGAGCTCCGTCTTTTGTTTTTTTTCGCTTCCGCTCAGACAAACATACTATACATGTTTTTTTTTGTTTTTTTTTTGTCAATCCTACGTAAATCAGGACTTCGGTACATTGAATAAAAAGAGTGTTTTAAAAAACAGTAATGTAATGAGTGGTCACTCACGATTATGACAAATATTTGATGTTATTAAAACGAAATGTACGTCACATGGAAAATCCTTTTTTTTTTTCTTTCACCCCAGCTAAAAGCGCTGTCAAAACTTTTTTTTTTTTCTTTTCGCATTAAGTTTTATTGTTGTCAACGCCACGTTCCGATGGAGGTAATCAAGCAGCTCGAAAATTTCATCGTTGCGGCGCTCGTCCTTATTATGCGCTTGGTATTACCGGCTAACTCTAAATCAATAATGCATAAAAGAAAAGAAAAAAAAGCTAGATCGCGGTGCATCCACTGCTCGTGGTGAGCGCCGTGACTGTTCTGGGAGCTATAGTCATCGCGAGGCGTGAGCCGGAAAAGAGGACGTTGAAGAAGGGAGAGGGGCGCTCGAGACAGATGATTAAATGGCTGATTCTCAACGGACGCTGGTTTGAGTCCCGAGTTCCCGAGGCCCTGACAACACGTGGTGTCATAAGTGCGCCAAGGCGATATCGCCGGAGGAGAAGCTACGCAAGCAATGGCCACGTCAAGCTTCTTGTGTCAACCCCCCGAGTAGTACACTTTTGCAAACCCAGAAGAATGGACCTCGTGGAAACGCCGCTTCGAACGATTTCGAGTCGTCAGTGGTCTCGCTGCGAAGCCGGGAACAGAACAGGTGAATGCTCTCATCTACTTCATGGGGGATAAAGCGGATGATATCCTGCTGTCTCTCAGTTTACCTGAAGAGCAAATGACAGACTACAGCGCCGTGCTCCCAGCCTTTGAGAACCACTTTGTCGTGAGACGGAATGTTGTTTATGAGTGATCCTTTTTCCATCGGAGATGTCAAAGAGACGGAGAGAACGTCGAAGTGGTCATAACAGATCTACACAAGGTTGCCAAGTTCTACAACTTCCGCACACTCCACGACGAAATGATTCGAGACAGGATAGTGGTGAGACTTAAATACCACAAGCTTTCTAAAAGACTGCAGCTTGATCCAGACCTGACACTTGAAAAGGCAACAAACATGACGCGACAGTCTGAGGTTGTGAAAGACCAACAGACCAGACTTCACACGTCCAGTGGCACAAACGTGGATTGAACTTTACGTATCAAAGAAGGCTCCTTCAAGAAAAGCCAATCGTGGAGGAAGAGTGGGCGAGAAGAGGGTACCCAACTCGACTCATGGCGAATTCCACTGGTCGTTTTGGAGCGCGCCGGGATCGACGTTTTTGGAGCGAGTCTATTTCCCTGGGCGATAGGGATCGAGACCGACGTGATTCACTGGTCGTTTTGGATTAGCTCCCGCTCCAGATCTCGATCTGGATCCGAAAAACGTCGCTCCCACGATTTCGGCGGATTCAACCGGAAGCCAGCCAGGCCAGCCCTTGGTGCACACACGTGACTTCCTTTTTCGTGGGGCATCTCGCCTGATCTCGCCCATCTCGCCTCAGAAGAAGAAGCACGTCGCGGGCTGGGCTCCTAGATTGTCTAGACATCAGAAGAATCCGTAATGGCCGCTTGCTCACCCCATTGGCTCGACAGCCGGTTCGTTTTCCGGGAAGTAGAAGAGAAGGTATTTGCCGCGCTACGGGCATTCCGGCAATCTTTGCCAGAAGCGCCTGAGCCATTCCTGCCAGTCGTGCGTCGAACACGTGTTAACGCCGCGATTGCGAAAACGTCTTTGAAACGACCGCGGCGGCCGCGGAAAGGGGATTCCCGGGCAGTTGAATGACGGGAAGGCATCCGCCGATCCCGGAGCAGTGGTCATGTTCCACGGGGGATCCGTAGGCGGCCCGACCCCGTTCGGATCGTGTGCTCCAGTCCGGATCTGGTCAACTGACCCCGGCGCGCTCCAAAACGCCCATGGAATTCGCCATCAGTTTCAAGCATCGACTGAACACTGCTCACGCTGTGGAAAGAGTCAACATTCGAAAGAACTGTGTCCGGCACGAAAGGCGATGCGCAACAAATGTCGCATGATTGGACATTACGCCCGACAACGCCGAAACTCCGCCTAATTTTATAAAGAGAATAAAGCTTTAAATAAAAACAAAAGGATGGAAGTGCTGGGTATCGATCCCAGTACCTCTCGCATGCTAAGCGAGCGCTCTACCATCTGAGCTACACCTTTTTTTTATTTCTTTATTGCAGGAGGATTGCAAAAACGGTCAATTCAATTTTAAAAAAAAATGCTCTGCAAGACTTATTGCAGGGTACATTAAAATACTCGCATTTCGAGGAGCGGTTTACAAATGTCTAGCCACTCGGGCTTCGTTTTACGGTTTGGAAAAATACTTTCCACTTGCTTAACAAGGCTGAAAAATAATGATGCACTTCTTTCACACTGGGGTCGGCATGACGGACCGCCATGCGCGACCTACAAATACTGCACAAACCCAACAAAATAATCATATCAAAAGGTATGCCATCATGGTTACTCACATTCAAGAAACGTATGACTGATTGGCTAATGCACAGTTGTTTCTTCAACGTGCACTGGAGCACCATCCCAAAAAATACCGCATCCCAGCAAAAAATGAAAACGTACTCGATGGTCTCAGGTTTCTTACACAAAATACAGTCTACCGACCACGGAACATCAATAACCTTACCTTCAAGCCACACCTTAACGGGCAGTGTATTGGAATGCAATTGAAAAAAGAACGTTTTAACGGAAGGGGGAACGCACATATTCTTCACTCGCTTGAGCACATCTTGGCCCTCGCTACAGACTACAGTTCTATACAACGGGTCTGGAAACAAACTTATCAATAAATCGCGTGTAAGCGTTTTCTTGCTAACAGCGGACAAATACTCAAAAGAAAAACGGGCAGACAAAAATAACACTGCGTCTACCACCTCCTTCTGATATCCCACTAATCTCTTAAGTTCGCTGCCATGGGACGAAACAGGAAAAAATGGCAAATGAGGAGACAATTTGGTTTGTATAAAGGTACGTATGAAAGGATGCTCTTGGTCTCGTAGAAAAAAGAATCGGGACACAATCTGTTTGCAAAACAAATGCGAGAGACCGAGACCACCGTGACGAATCCGATGGAAAAGATTGTCTCTCCTCATCGGCTCCCACTTTGAATTCCAAATAAACGTGGCAAAAACACGGTGAAATTTCTGCACATTCAAGCGAGCCCAATGAATGGCCTGCATCACGTGTACCATAATTTTGCAATGAGGAAAATATTACATACTGTCGCTCTGGCAAATATGGACAGCTCACGCTGCTTCTAACGGGAGGCGCGCCTGTCCAGGTTGGCGGCGACTCCCGACCAATATGATTTGGTATAAGATACCTTCACAATTTCACTCAAAGAATAGAGCTTTAATTAAAAGCAAAAGGAAGGAGGTGCTGGGTATCGATCCCAGTACCTCTCGCATGCTAAGCGAGCGCTCTACCATCTGAGCTACACCCCCTTTTTTTTTTTTTTTTTTTCTTTATTGCAGGAGGAATGCAAAAACGGTCATGTCACTTTAAAAAAAAATACTCTGCAAGTCTTATTGCAGGGTACATTAAAATCCTCGCATTTCGAGGAGCGGTTTACAAATTTCTAGCCACTCGGGTTTCGTTTTACGGTTTGAAAAAACACTTTCCACTTGCTTAACAAGGCTGAAAAAATAATGATGCACTTCTTTCACACTAGGGTCGGCATGACGGACCGCCATGCGCGACCTCCAAATACTGCACAAACCCAACAACATAATCATATCAAAAGGTATGCCATCATCGTTACTCACATTCAAGAAACGTATAACTGATGGGCTAATGCACAGTTGTTTCTTTAACGTGCGCTGCAGCACATCCCAAAAAAAAACCGCATCCCAGCAAAAAATGAAAGCGTGCTCGATGGTCTCAGGTTTCTTACATAAAATACAGTCTACCGACCACGGCACATCAATACCCTTTCCTTCAAGCCACACCTTAACGGGCAGTGTATTGGAATGCAGTTTAAAAAAGAACGTTTTAACGGAAGGGGGAACGCACATATTCTTCACTCGCTTGAGCACATCTTGGCCCCCGCTACAGACTACAGTTCTATACAACGGGTCTGGAAACAAACTTATCAATAAATCGCGTGTAAGCGTTTTCTTGCTAACAGCGGACAAATACTGAAACGAAAAACGGGCAGACAAAAATAACACTGCGTCTACCACCTCCTTTTGATATCCCACTAATCTCTTAAGTTCGCCGCCATGGGACGAAACAAGAAAAGATGGCAAATGAGGAGACAATTTGGTTTGTATAAACGTACGTATGAAAGGATGCTCTTGGTCTCGCAGAAAAAAGAATCGGGACACAATCTGTTTGCAAAACAAATGCGAGAGACCGAGACCACCGTGACGAATCCGATGGAAAAGATTGTCTCTCCTCATCGGCTCCCACCTCGAATTCCAAATAAACGTGGCAAAAACACGGTGAAATTTCTGCACATTCAAGCGAGCACAATGAATGGCCTGCATCACGTACCACAATTTTGCAATGAGAAAAATATTACATACTGTCGCTCTGGCAAATATGGACAGCTCACGCTGCTTCCAACGGGAAGCGCGCCTGTCCAGGTCGGCGGCGACTCCCGACCAATAGGGTTTGCTTTGCCTGTAACATTTTAGTGGCACACCGAGGTAAATGCACGGCACACGGTCCCAACACACCCCTTCAAACACCGAAGGGGTTGTGGCCCACT